AATCTAGATAGGGCTTAACTACTCTCCCCTTTCTCAGAGAGGTGTTAGAACATGCTGTGTTTTGGCAGTCATTCACAGGACAGAAACAGGCTGAGAATCATCACAGTCAAAGGGAATTTCACCTGTTCCCTGGCAAGAAATAATCTGCTAAGCGGACAATGACAAAAGGAACAGCATTGATTATATGTTTGAAGGTGCTCTTAACATTGTCCTACATCATAATGTGTTCCTGTTCTTAGACAGAAAAAATTTGGAGCATTTAGCCTTCTACATAATCTGTGGTGACTTTCTTAAAAACCCACAATGATGTGTTCTCAAAATCTGCACCAATCCTCTGTCAAATATGTGCATGTAATAAAAATTTCTGGTTGTTGTCTCCTTCCATGAAAGAGATGGAGCAAGCAAACAGTTTAATAAATAATGAGGTAGATTTAATCTGTAGAGATGACATTTTTTACTCCTGGCTCTTTCAAACTGGAACAGTCTCTTTCTTAATATTTCCCTCTGTCATCTTTCCACCCCCTTACTCTGAAACTGGAGGCAATATTCACTTTGATAGGCAGATACTTTTGAAACCTGTGAATGAGGAGAGCTAACTGTCACAGTTTTTACGGTATATTTTTCAGTAAAAGCAAGTGCAGGAAGTAAGATCCTCCTGAAAACTTATTAGAAGTAATAAAAGAGAAGTTCATTCTTTCCAGGTTGCTAGACTATCTGTGTGCCTGTCAGAAATAGGCAGGATGATTAGCATCCATCGTGTGCAGTCTGTTTTTTCATTCTTCCCTGGAGAACAGCATGAAAAAGGAGAATTTAACTTTGCTTTCTGGCATACTTTATACCATGCACATTGATATAAACAGAGTTCATAATGCTCCTCAGTATTGCTGGGAGATGAAACCATAGCCTCATACAAAACTACTATGGGACCAGATTTCTTTCACAGGGAAGCTCAAGACTGTGCCAAATATATACAGTTTTGTCTTTCAATGCCACCAAACAATCTGCATTTCCCAAATGTATGACCCTAAATCCAAGATCTTGACCTTGATTTGAAATTCTGTGAGAAGTCGGCATAGCATACGAAGAAGTGGAGAGAGGTACTCTGAAGAGCCTGTGCTATTGTGTAGAAGCATTCTAGCTTTCTGGAGTCAATAGCAACCATCTCAGACACAGCTTCATTTAATATAATGCAATAATATAATCTGAAGTACCACCAAAGGCTTCTGCCAAGATCATGCTGTTGTCTTCTAGGCTGGAAAGAAAACTAACTACCTAGAGGGCAGGAAGGGATCCCTCTGTGGAACTCTCCTTGCTTGCATCTTTAAGATGTCTTTGTTCTTCTCATGTTCCTACTCAGGCTGCAGTATTGTGCACCCTTCAGGTTCTAAAAGTCCTCCCACAGCAAGGACTCCCAAGTTTGAACAAGACAACTCTGGAATGTTGTGTAACATTTTATACCAGCTACTGCTAAAACCTTTTCAAAGGTCTAAAATTGGGGACCTTCACACTCAACCACATCTTCTTCCAAAATCGTCCGTTTTTCTTTTCTTTTTTTCCTACTTCACTCTGTTTTCCTTCTGGTTTATGTGCGGCCTTATGTATTTTCTTTTCCATTCATAGTCCTAATAGTTTTCAAAATCCATATTCTCATCATCTCAACAACAGAACTTTTTGCACTCCTCTCTTTCTGTACACCTTAATATCCAGTTCTACGTTTCTGCCAGTTTTCTTCCACATACCCTCTCTTCTCTGCCTGCTCGCAAAATCTCACATTCCTTTCAGGTTTTTGTGACCTTTCAGTTATCTTCCTTGTCTTTATGTGTCTTGCTCCTCTCCACAATGTAAACAATTTCTGTATTATAAGCTATTTGTTCAATACCATTTCCCTAAAATAAACATTGAGCAGTTACCAGCTGGCTCAGCTCCCTAGGATCTTTTCCTCATCCTGATTCTCAACAGCAATGCAGAAAAAAACTGTGGCAGTATGACTCCAAAGAGTACTCGAGTTTGTTTTGCTCAGGAGATTCAGGTGAGAGTCCAGAACTCCAGTGTTACACTTGTTGTGTGAACCAGAGAAGTTTTGAGTCTGGAGGCCACAACAAGACCCCACATATCTGCTCTGAGGCTGCTTAATTTTGAACATGGTAGTTGTGCAACTTATCTTTGAATTAAACCATACTTGTGATAAAATGTAAAATGCTTCCCTAAAAAGTTAGCAATACAGAAAAATGATATACAGATATGAACCTTGGAAATGAAGTTTGCAGCTGAGCCTACTCGATA